CAGGTTCTGAGGGTGGGAGGTGAAGTCAGAGTCTGAAGTCGAAAGAGGGGTCTGGGGTCCAAGAAATTTGGGATCAGAGAGAGGATCTGGGGTCGAGGAAAGGTTTGCGGTCAGTGGAAGAGTCTGTGGGCCAAGGAGGGGGTCTGAGGTCTGAGGAGGATTCTAGCTCAAACTGGAAGGAGGAAGAGGTTTGTCCCCTGGGCTGCATAAGGTGCCCCGGGTCACTACGGTTGCTCTTGCAGCGCGCTCTTCTCCTTTTACCCCCCACTGCGCGACCCCGACCTGCCCTCCAGCCTTTCCATCCACACCCACCCCCACCCGCGCACCCACTGCAGGCTGACAGCGCTAAGCAGGCAGGGGCGAGTCAGACCCGGACACTCGCTAGGGTGGGGTGAGGCGCCCCCTCCCGGCGGCCCAAGAGCCCAGGCCCCGCCCTCTCCAACTCCCCCCTCCCTCGCCCCCGCCGCACCACTTCCGGCAAGCGCTGCGCTGCTGGGGGGCGCGGGCGAGGATGGCGGCGGAGAACGAGGCCAGTCAGGAGAGCGCCCTGGGCGCCTACTCGCCCGTGGACTACATGAGCATCACCAGCTTCCCGCGGCTACCGGAGGATGAGCCGGCGCCCGCGGCCCCTCTGAGGGGCCGCAAGGACGAGGATGCCTTCCTGGGAGACCCCGATACCGGTGAGGCCCGCTGGCTCCGTCCCTGTCCCCTGGGACGTCCCCGGTCCTCCTTCATCTGCGCGGAGCATCACCTCCACCCTCCATCTCCCTAATTCATCCCCTTCCTCCTGAACCTCTCCCTTCTCCTCCCTTGTCTCTGTTAATTATCTGGTGGGGTTGGGAATGTATTTCTGCCTTGGAGGCTTAGGATGCGACAAGGGAGAACATGCCAAGGACTGCAGTAGGAGGGATTGGGGTTACTGCTTGGGAAGAACCAACTAATAAAGAAGGAATGTTGGAGGGAAGATCTTAAGGAACAGCTGTGACCACTCAGAAGAGGCCTTTTCTAGTGACAGAGAGCAGGATAGGACTGCAGCAGGATGGATAGAGGCTAGGTCTTGAGAAGAACTTCCCCACAGCCAGGGATTGTGGGAAGGAGAGACCATGGGGAGAAGCTGAGAATCTCTTCATGTCCAGGGAGGGGTAAAGAGAATATGATTCCCATCTGTTTGTGAGTGATGGCTATTGGGAGACAGGGGGATGGACTGCATGACCTCTCAAAGTCCTTGGGGACAGAGTGCCTTAGCTGTCCTGTGGATTACCTCACCCCTCCCGGAGCCATAGAGGAGCCATAGATCAGGCCAGGATATTAGTAAGGTACCCTGCCCCCTAGGATGCAGGCTCCAGAATTTTACTGTGTTCTCCTCGGTCCTCTGCAGGGACTGCAAGGTGTGGGAGTAGAGAGGGAGGAGACAGGGCTTGAGGGAGACCTGAGGGCCAAGAGCTCTCTGAGCATTTCTTCCCTAGTGCTCCCTCTGCTATCCATGTGGTCCAGCAGTATCCTCCCCTCCATTCTTCATCCTCCATCCTCCATCCCTCTTTCCCTCAACGTCACTTCCTGGCATTAGAGCATCCTTCTGTTTCACTCTCTCTTGCTCCCAGTGCCTACACTTGAGCTCTATCCCTTACTAGCCTGGCAGATCTGTTTCTCTGGCCCAGCCCTCTCTAGCCTGGCCCTTCTGTAGCTATTTCCAGCCTGACAATCCCAAATTCTTTCCCCCTCCACAACTTTCCAGTCTTCTGGCCTTGACCAGCAGCCCCTGCCAAGCTGACTAGACTGTACCCTACCTGGAAGGAGGAGCAAGGGAAGAGTGGGGAGGTTTATGGGCATCGCATGTCAAAGCTGCAGATCAGAACTACTTTTCCAGAGGGAGTAGCCCTGGAATCAGGAGGCAAGAGAGAGAAGTGGGAATATGTAGCCTGGTGGATACCAGCCTGAAACCAAGTCCTTTCAGGGGTCAGAAGTGCCACTTCTGGTCCCAGCACTGCCCTAACTCACTGTGTGACAATGGGCACAGCTACCCTGATCTGGGCCTTAGTTTCTTCTTTCAGCTCAACTGGGAATGCCTCTCTCTCCTAACCTAGAGATTGGAAACCCTGACATGTTTTCTCCTTGTCCCCTATAAATGTTTTAGCATTTATCAAAACTTGTGTTTATTTGTGCAATCATGTGATTATTCCATGTCTGTAAGTCCTATGAGGGTGAGGTCATGACTGTTTTGTTCACTGTCCTTTCTCTACCATCCCGCACAGTGCTAAGCACTCAATAAAAAATGTTGAATGAATAAACGAATGAGAGAGAAGATCTCAGGATGAAAGAATGGCAGGGAAGGAAGTTCACAAACCTCAGAGAGTACCTTGGGGAGTTAACACAAGCTCTGCCCTCAGCTGTACAAAAATCCAGCAGAGACCTTGGTCAGCTGAGTTTCTAGGAACCTGTACCTAATGCCAAGGTTGTACACTAAGGTTCCAAGAACCTTGCCATCATACCTATGTAGTCATTTCAATGCCATCTCTCCCAGCACTACTTCCAAGCCCCAAGGCTCCTTTGGCCCAGCTGGACCAGCCCGTTGTCTAAGACGGCCTCCTATATTCTCAACCTGGTGGTTCTTCCTAGTGGCACTGTCCCATCCTCTTATCCAGGACCTTGGTTGTGCCCAGCTAGCCTCTAGCCTGCCATTCCCCAGAACCAAATGCCAGGCACCCTGCAGCAGGCTCTGTGGAAAACAGAGCTAGATGGTAACCACTCCAAGGCTAGGGAAGTACTTTCTTTCCTCTCTTCTGAGCTCCAGACCTACATGTTCCTCTCTCTCCCAGGCATCTGCTTCTAGATGTCTTGCAGATGCCTTACTTTCAGGATGTTCTCTGCTGAACTCATCATCTCCTCCCCATATACCTGTTCTTCCCCCAGTGTCATTCTCAATTAATGACACTGCCATTCATCCAGTCTCCAAGGTAGAAGACCAAGAGCCACCCATGATTCCCCTCCTTCTTCTTACTTCCAGACTAGGATCAGATGCTCTGTCTCTCCTTCCTAAGTATCTTTCAAATTCCATCTCACCATCTCTGTGATCACCACTGTAGACTAAGCCATCATCCTCTCTTACCTTTATCACCCATAGGCTTCTAGTACTCTTCCTGCCTCTTGCCTCTCCCTCACCCCCTTAATCCCAATCCATCCACAGCCTGCACTTCTGATCATGCCACTGCCTCATTCAAAAATCTTCAGTGATTCTCCCCTTAAGGGAGTAAGCAAGCCAGGGATAACCTCAGTCTCCTGCTAAGCTCTCTCTCCTGAGCTCTAGACTTGCCAAGTCAACTCTGTTCAGGGTTCTTTTGTCATAAACTCGGCTAAAACTGAGCTATATCTAAAAAGAGAGTTTTATTCGATAGCATTACTGAAAAGTTCAGGGATGTGGGGCTTCAGGCGTAGCTGTATCGAGGTGCCTAAAAAGGAATTGGCTTTTCTCCATCTTTTGCTTTGCCTTCCTTTTTATGGGCTTCATCTTCAGAAAGCCTCCTATCTTATGGGGGAAAGATGCCCCCAGCAACAACAGGCTTACATCTTATCACCTTAGCAACCTAGACAGAAAGAAAGCCTTTCTCTTTTCCAATAGTTCTAGCAAAAGAACAAAGTTTGAGTCTCATTGACCTGGTGCTGGTCATGTGCCTGTCCCTGAACAAATCACTATATAGAGGTGCCTGTTCTCATTGGTTAGGCCTAGGTCATATACTTACTCTGGTCAGGAATGAGAGAATGAAGAATGAGAGGGGAGATAGTGTTCTCTACAAGAAAACTGAATGAGGAATGTTGTCTAAGCAGATAAAGATTAGATGCCTTCTAGGCCAGCAGCCTCCAGACAACTCCTGCTGGTGTCCCACAAATTCAGAATAGCCAAAATTAAACTCATCATCTTTCTCCCAAAAGACTTTTCTTCTGATCCCGAACTAACCTTTTCCCAGTGTCCTGCTGTTGCTCTTACATATCAGTAAAATCAAAGGTATTATTTTCTCAGCACTTACACAGTAGGGTACTCAGTAAATATTTTTGTTAAATAAATGAATAACTTAATTATTGATCGGTGGAATAAAAAGTCTTGAATACATCCTACTCTCCTGGGGCCATATGACCTTCACTTCCTGGTTCTTCATATCTGATTGGAGAAAACAGATTGAAGGACAAGTAGCTGGAAATATCAACTAGAATTAGCTTGTAAGTTTGGTTTTTGAGGGTGGAAATAGCTCCTGATGCCATGTGGAGCTATGGAAAGGAGGTTTTCAAGTTACATAGACTCTTGGTTCTGCCCTTTATTCATCTTACGATCTAAAGCAGGCAATTATCACCTTTCTCAGCCCCAGTTTCCTCATCTAAAAATGGACAGAGTAGGCCTATCTCATAAAGTTATGGGAATACTTCAATGAGGGAATGAATGTAAAGTACCTGGTATATAGTCAGCATCAATAAATATAAGTTCAAAACCATTTCCTGTACTTCTTTTGAAACCTCTAGAGGCCAAGGAGAGTTCTGTGCCCACAGTAGGTATTTAACCTCTGTTTGCTGAATGAATTCTAGTTTTATTTACAGACTTTGTGTTGCTGGTGGTGAGGGTTAGAAGCAAGCATGATCAACTGAAGGAGGCTTCCAGAACACAAGTTTCTTTTTTTAAACAAAAGTTTAAAAACAAATTACATGTGCATGGTAAAAAAAAAGAAAAAAAAGCGAGGAAAAGTGAAAGTCCCCTTCTCCATTCATAGCTCCCCACGATTTGTCCTTTTTATTTAAAAATATATGTATTGGGGCTAACCCCGTGGCCTAGTGGTTGAGTTTGTTGTGCTTCACTTCAGCAGCCCAGGTTTGGATCCCAGGCCCAGACCTACACCACTCATTGGTGGTCATGCTGTGGCAACTACCCACATACAAAATAGAGGAAGATTGGCACAGATGTTAGCTCAGGGCGAATCTTCCTCACCAAAAAGAAAACTTAAAAAAAACAAAAGACATATATATAAGTAGTAAAAATTTCAAACAAAAAGTTTTCCCACCCCATCTCATTCCCATCTTCAATATCTTTTCCCAAAAGTAAGCACCTTAAATAATTTCTGAAGATTTCTTGCATATATCAGCATTTTATCCATATATATGGACATTATGATTTCTTATTTAGACAAAAGAGGGGAGTGTGTATCATCGAGGGTCAAGGAACTTGGATTTTTATGATGTTGGCATTGGTGAACCACATAGTATTTTAAATAGGAAAACATAACAGTCAATTTTTAATATTATCCCACAGACTTTTAAAGAGGTTATACTCTTAGCGCATAGCAGCAGGTGCTCAAAAAATATTTATGGAATGAATGAACTTTTAAAAACACATTGTGAGTACATTAAGGTCAAGTTACCAGGCTATTTCTTTACTGTTCACAAACAGCCAGGACCTTTAGGCCATTCAGAGACCTAGTTTCAAGGCTAAGATAACCTAGAGGAGGGAAATTTTAAGATGGAAGAGTGTCTCAGCTCTGGCCAAGGTGGAAAAGGAATGGAAATAACTTTGAGTGCACACCTACAGGGTGCCCAGTATACATCGCCTCATGGAGTCCTTGTACCCATCTGGCCAGTTAGGGATTAGCTCCATTATTAGGGTGAGGAAAGTGAAGCTCATGACTTGAAGTGACTTGTCCATAGTCACACAGCAAGAAAGAGGCTTCAGGTCTCCCCTGCGTGCACTCTTACATCCTCAGATCCATTCTCCAGATAGCAACCAGAGGGATCTTTTTAAAACACAAAACAGATGGCTTCAACTTCTTGCTTAAAACTCTCCAGTGGCTTCCCCTGGCTCTTAGGGTAAAATCCAAGCTTCTCACTAGGCCCACGGGGCCCAGTGCATCTGGCCTTGCCTCATTCCCACTGCTCTTTCCCCTTGTTCGCTACACCAGCACCACTCAGGCTTGGTTATTTTTTTTCTAATGCACCAAGCTCATTCCTACATTATGGCCTTTACACCTGCTGTTTCTTCTTTTTGGAACACTCTACTCACTTACCCCTTGCTCGACATGTGGCTGTCTCCTTCTCATCCCTTAGTTCTTAGCTTTAAAAGTCACCTCCACTAAGAAGCCTTGCCTCATTTCCCCAGCTAAGCAGCCCCCAATTCACACTGTCATTCTCCATCATTTCATTCTTCTTTTTCTTCATAGCACCTGCCACAACTTGTAATGATTTATCTGTTTACTTGTTCATTACCTTTTTCTTCCACTGGTCTGTGAACCCCACGGGGGCAGGAACTGTCTGTTCCTTTTCCCTAGCGTCTAGCATAGAGCCAGACACATGGCAGGCCCTCCGTATTTGTTGAATGAATGAATGGATAACCCAAGGAAGGTTGGAAGCCAGAGACTGTCCGCTTAGTTTAGGTAGCTGCCTCCTTGCACAGAAGGCTGGGGCCCCAGCTAGGGCAGGATCTGGTTTCCAGGGAGGGTCCAACTCCCGCCTCTCCAGGAAGTGTTCTCAGCCCTGGGTCCTGGGTCCCGGGAAAATTGGCCTTGGGGCGGGAATCCAGCTGGCCCTGCTGCCCAGCTGGGCGTCCCTGTCTTCCCAGCCCGATGCCCTGGGGTGTGTCGGGAGACGCTGAAAGGTGAGCAGTGCTGTTGAGGGGGGTTTGTTTGACAGGGGTGGGGGGAGGGGGGGACCCGGAATAGCCCTGCCTGGAGGGCGGGCAGGGCCAGGTAACAGGCACCCAGACCGACCCCTAGCCGCCCGCAGACCCGGACTCCTTCCTGAAGTCGGCAAGGCTGCAGCGGCTGCCGTCGTCCTCCTCGGAGATGGGCAGCCAGGACGGGTCGCCTTTGAGGGAGACGCGCAAAGACCCGTTCTCCGCGGCAGCGGCGGAGTGCTCCTGCCGCCAGGACGGGCTCACGGTCATCGTCACAGCCTGCCTCACCTTTGCCACGGGTGTCACTGTGGCGCTCGTCATGCAGATCTACTTCGGGGACCCTCAGGTGAGGGGGGGAGGAGGAAGCAAGGAAGAGCTTGAGGAGACCGTGGGAATTGGGGAATGGCTGAGGGAGGGAGAGGGGCCAGGAAATGGAAAGGGGAGAGGGCGGTGACGTGGGCGAGGAAGGGCCCGATCAGGTAGGAGCATTTGGGGTAATGAGGGAATAGTCGTAGGGGAGAGTCGAGAGGACAAGACGGCAGGGCTGCCACCCCCGTCCCCTGTGGAGGTTCTGGGTTTAACAGGGGCCTCCTCCTGCCCCAACTTAGTCCCCTTTCCCCTCCCAGATCTTCCACCAGGGTGCCGTGGTGACCGATGCGGCCCGTTGCACATCACTCGGCATCGAAGTGCTCGGTAAACAAGGATCTTCTGTGGATGCGGCTGTGGCAGCAGCCCTGTGTTTGGGGATTGTGGCACCACACAGCTCTGGCCTGGGCGGGTAAGGAGTTCCCGGCTGTGGAGGTTGAGGTCCCCCAGGCCTACTTCTGTGTCCTGGTCTGTGTCCATGGGGAGGACTCTAAGTTTGAGAGAGGGGCAGCTGGGCCTCAACTCCTTGCATTTTCTCTTTCTACACCCAATTTCACTCCTTTTTCTTTATGTGGAGTCAGAGGAGTTGTTTTCAGAAGCTTTTTTTTTTTTTTTAACTGGGAAAAGGATTTTGTAAACTGTAAAGGGAGGTGCAAAGTTGGGGGTATAGGGTCATTAGGGCAATGATACTTAAACTTTTAGGGTTTACAAATCTCTACAACAAATCCCCGTGAGTCTGATGAAAGCTTTGGACCCTATATCCTCCAAAAATACACTCCAGGCAAAGAACTGTTAAAACGGAGGTTACAAACTGGCCACCCATGGGGCTATACCCAGCGCACAGATTGGTTTGGTTTGCACACTTAAATTTTTAAAAGTTTGTTTGCTAGTGTTAAAAAGTTGAGAACTTCCATGAAAATCCAGATTTCTAACATCTCTTGAACCTGGAGAGACCCGGTAACACTGGTCTCATTCCACATTCCCACATGGCTGCAGTTATCTGGTGCTGAATAGAAGTTGCTTCCCATGATGGGGCTTGTGCTGTCCACTTTGCCATAGTATCCACCATTCCCTACTGTTTATCTGTCCTGCTTTCCTTATTATGTTACTTGGCCACAGACCAACCATCTAAGATGCAACCCCCATCTCGGATGGAAACAAGCCACAGAAAAGGGACAAGCAGACGAAGTCCATATCTTGGCTCCTGCAAGACCAGCCCTCTAGGCCCTACCAAAGAAATTCCCCTTTTGGTTTTGCACAGTCTGTCCTTATATAATTTCAGTCCTGGGAGAGGGAGCGGGGGCATATCAAGGCAGCAGGTGCAGGAAGCTGGCAGCAGTCCAGCTATGGTCTTGCGGGGGTGGGGGCAGAACATCCTGCTTTCCCAGTCTCTGGGTTTTCCCTAATTAGGGATTAAAGTCTCCAGTGACAGGCTGGAAGAGGTCCATGAACTCTGGGTCCCCAACCCTCTCGATTTCACTCTCTACCCTCATAAGGTGGCTGACTCTCTGAATCACTGCTGGGAACGGAGCTGTGATGACAAACTGAGCCTACAGCCATCACTGTTGGGAGTTCAGGGGTGGCAGGTTAATTGTTCAGAGGGGTAACATATTATCAACCTCCCCTTTCTGTCTCTCTCCCAGTGGGGGCGTGATGCTGATACATGACATCCGACGAAATGAGAGCCACCTAATTGATTTCCGGGAGTCTGCACCAGGGGCTCTCAGGGAAGAGGCCTTGCAGAGATCCTGGGAGACCAAGGTGGGGGCCCTGGTGAGAAAAGAGGGTCCAGGGGTATCTCCCTTCACTGCCCTTTTACTAACCCAAGCATTACTTTGCTGAGTATTTACTATGGAGGTGAGGAGAAGAGTTAAGCAGGATGGTCTTAGGCTATGAAGGAGACAGGTAGCCCCCAAAATAAATAATGAACCACAAAGTCTGGACGGTTGATAACAGGCAATGACAGCAACACCTTACCTCTCTGGCAACCTTGCCTATCTGGCACGTAGGAAGGAGGAAAACAGGCTGCTGAGCAGCCTGAGATGTCGTGAAGTAGCTGCACTAAAACACACATCTCACTCTGAGCCTGTTGACTGTAACTTTTCCAGCCCACAACATAATATTAGAGAGGAACTGCTCGAGGCAAACCCACTATCCACTGAGAGCAAAGGAAGAAATAGAATAACTTGGAAAAGTAGATATTTAGTACAGTGGTAAAAGCCAAACGTGGCTTATCACAGCTCAGGAGTAATGGTGGTGTGATAACGAAAAGGTTAAATGAAAGTCCCTTGTGCTCTATTTTAAAAGGCAGGCGTAGGTATAATCCAATGTAGACAGGTTTCCATCTAAATTGGTTATGCCTTGGCTCTTAAAAGAGTTTGCTTAATTTATAAATCCCTCAACTGTGATAGATAAAGGAGGCCTTTCTGCATTTGCTGATAGGAAGTCAGGGAGATGGGAGGGATGCCTGCTGGGGACTACTTGTCCCTCCTCTGGGATACTTGGCCTGTGTCTCTCCCCTGTGCCAGCCCCCCATCCCTGGCTTGGGGCTCTGCAGAGTTCAGCCCAGCCCCCCCCTTCCAGTGACCTGGTCTCCTCTCTCCCTCGCCTGCCCGCCTTGCCCAGCCTGGGCTCTTGGTGGGGGTCCCCGGAATGGTGAAGGGGCTACACGAAGCTCACCAGCTCTATGGCAGGTAAAGACCCTCCCCTTAGGGACCAGGGGCCCCTGCCTGTACCCCTCCTTGGGTGGCCTTCTCCTGTCTTCCTGGATTCTTCCCTTCCCAACTCTCCACCCCCCGGCTAATATCCCCTTCCCTTGCCAGGAATCTCCTTCCTAGGAACCCCCCTCCCCCCAAGACCCCTCCTCCTTCCCCCAGGACCTCCTCCACCCCCTGCTCTCCGGCCCCCCCAGGCTGCCATGGTCCCAAGTCCTGGCCTTCGCAGCAGCTGTGGCCCAAGATGGCTTCAACGTGACCCATGATCTAGGTCAGTGGGGCCTGGGGGTCGGGGGAAAGGCATGAGGTTGATGGAGAGGGGAGAGGGAACCTCTGAGATTTGGGGCCCAGGCCAGAAAGCCCTCTCTTCCAGTTTGCTCCTCAGATCCCCTTACCACCCTATCCCACCATCACTGTTACCCACCAGGAGGCAGCCTCAAATGAGGGGATCTGGGAGGGGCCCATATACACCCCTGCCTCCCCCATAATAGGCTCCTGGGGGGCCAGGGCCCTTAGGGCCCACCACTCAGCCGTCATCCACCCCACCTATTGCGCATCTCAGCCCTCCAGTCCAGTCCTGTCACCCCCATGCCCAGCCTCCCCTCTGCCCGCAGCCCGCGCCCTGGCTGAACAGCCACCTCCCAATGCTTCGGAGCGCTTCCAAGAGATGTTCCTGCCTTCAGGCCACCCGCCACTACCTGGTTCACTGCTGCGTCGGCCTGACCTGGCCTCGGTGCTGGATACACTCGGCACCTCCGGCCCTGCTGCCTTCTACGCCGGTGGCAACCTCACGCTAGAGATGGTGGCTGAGGTGAGCGTGTAGGGAGCCCCCATGCCCTGAAGGACCCTACTGCAGGGACGTCCTCTTCCCCCTTCCTTCCCTGTCTTTCTTTTAACATATATTTACTGGAGATTCTACTTACTTGAAATTCTAGAATAGACAAAACTAACCTCTGGAGATGGAAAGCAGATCAGTGGTTATTGGAGAAGGGAGGGGTTGACTGGGATGCAGTGCAGAGAACCTCCTGGGGTGATGGAACTGTTCTGTCTTGATTGAGAAAAGTACCTTTGGGCTCACCAGGGCTGGTGCCAACCTGTCCAGGGGCCTGTCCTGTCCCTCCCAGGCCTGGCAGAGACCCAGAATCAGCTGTAGCTTCTCCAAGTCCACAATCCCACCCTGCCCTTGAGTTTTCTAGGACTAGGGAAAACACCTCCTTCACTGGTGACCATCTGGACTGGGAAGATTGATAAAAGGGCTTACCAACCAACCCCAAAGAGTCTTGGTCTGAGACAGTAATGAGTTCTGAGAACTGTTGCCAATAGTTCAAAACTCCTAACGGATAATTATGTTCAAGATAAGGATACACAGACCAACTCAGTGGTTCTCCCATCTGTTCATTGGAGATGATTATATCTATCTCTGCCATACAGTTGTGGGAATTAAATAGGTCTGTCATTCATTCTACACTCACAAGTGCCTGCTCTGTGCCAGACCCTGTGCTGGGCACTGGAGGTATGGATATGGTGATAGATATGGATATGGGCTTAACTGGAAGGGCCAGCAGAGTACTGGCTTTAGATCTGGTGGGTCCAGGGGCTCCAATCACATTGTCAGGACTTTGTCTGTCTCTCTTTCTGTCTCATGACTCTACCTCCCTCTGTTTGAATTCACTCTCTGTCAGATCCTTTCCACACCTGCTCCCTACCAGCCATCCTTCCAGAAAGCCATCCTAAAGAAAGAGCATTACTCATTCCAGTAGTTCCAGCAAAAGCCTCAAGGTTATATTCGTGAGCCTGTCATAGTTCTCATGACTATTCCCAAACCAATCCCTGTGGCATGGAAAAGGAATGCTCTGATTAGCCAGACCTGGGTCATGTATCCTCTCCTGCAGGTGGAGAAGGGGATGAAGGAGATGCTAACAAATTCCATCAGAGCTTTAAAAGAAAAAAAACCCAGAGTTGAGTTTATTAACTTGTCAGATAAAGGAACACACACCAGCCAAAAAATTCAATGTGTAGTTCACTGAGGGTAGATTAAAAGTCAGGGGTTTCAAGTACTAAAAAATACTAAAAAAAGGGAGAACATTCCTAGTAGCTGTGCTAATTTATGATTGAAAATTAGTGTGCTGGATAGGATGGAATGAGCCCATCAGTTTGTACAAGATTGGTTCATTGGTCAATAGAGTGCTTGGTTACATCTAGTAAGGGTCATTCTTACCAGGGTCATCCAGAGTTCATGGTTTTAGAGTGGCTTTAGTTGGTTGTAGAGAAATGCAGAATTCAGTTTTGATATCGTATAGGCAAGTGCTGCTATAAGTGGAAAATCTTCCTTTTATATAGGCAGAGAGAGCAGTACATGCAAGGACACGGAGTCATGAGTTTAGGAACTGCAGGTCACTCTGGGTGGCAGTACAGAGTTCATTGGGGAATAGCAGGATACGAGGTAGGAGAGGTAGGCAGGGGCCAGATCACCAAGGGCCTTGAAAACCCTATGAATTCTATTAAGTCATTCATAGAATGTACCCAGTGCAATGTCAGGCTCATAGTAGGTGCTCGGTGTTAGTGCTTTTCCCTATTCCTTTTTTCTGGAGTATCCAGGGCTGATGGGGTCCTTAAAGGCTATAATGGGAGTTGCAGAAGGCACAAAAATGATAAACATCTGATCTGTCTGTGATCCAAATGTATACAATAGGCCAAGCCCTATTGTACCACATGCTCAGAGTGTGGTCTGTGGCTCACAGCAGTGGTGGGGTCATTCTCTCCCCTCCAGGCTCAGCACGCAGGGGGTGTCATAACTGAGGAGGACTTCAGCAACTACAGTGCCCTCGTGGAGAAGCCCGTGTGTGGCGTGTACAGAGGTGACCTCTCCCCTATCTCCCAGGGTCCCCACTCAAGAAAAGCCTCCCAGTCCATGGCCACATCCTTTTGGCCTAGAGACTCCTCCCCATTTCACAGGAGAGAAAGTGAGGCAATGAGCTGCCTGGGCAGCCAATTGTTGAAGCAAGCCAGAGCCAGCCTACCTTCTGAAATAGTCATGGGGTCAGCTCCCCCAGTATTTAGGATATGGGGAGGGAGGTCTGGTCAAAGACTCAGTCCTGGAAATTGGGGTTCTGGCCATAAATTTTCTTGATTTGGGCACTGTGTTTCCTCAGCCCCCTCCTCAGCCCCACTCTCACTGCTCTGTACTTCCTAAGAAGAATTTGTAAGACCAAAGTCCATCTAAGCTTCAGGTTAGAGCAAACCTTTCAAGACAGTCATAGACCCGCCGCTCATTGTGCCAAAAGGAAACTGAGGCCCAGAGAGGGAATGGAACTTAACCTGCCAAACTCAGAATCAATGAGGAACCCAGAAAGCCAAGCTTATGACATGGTTGAAATCCATGTTTGCTGAACCCAAAATGGTAGCTTCCAGGGTCCCTCAGAAGATTCTCCGGTTCCCTCCCCTCTTGGAGGCCCAAATCACCTCAAGCCCCAGGAGAAGCCACCTCTGAGTTCAGGTTTCCAGGCCTCAATCTCCAGCCTGATTCCTCTGCCAGAGGTGGTGGTATATGGAACAGAGGAAAAGCATAGCTTTGGAGCCAGGAAGACTTGGGTTTGAGTACTAGCTGTGCCATTCACCTTGAACAAATTACTTCCCACTCTGAGCCCTGGTTCCCTCCTTAAAATGAGATAATAATAGTACCTGCCTCTCAGGGTACCCATGAGGATTTGATGAGATATGATGTTAGAGTTGCCCTGATCAGAGTGGGCACTGAATGTATTTGATTTCAAAAACACTCAGTGTGTACTTGATTTTCCATCTCCCTTTCCTAGCCTGGGTTCTCTTGGCAATGCCAGTACCTTGAGTACTCTGGGTTCCCTTTGCCTCCTGTAACCTTGGACTAGCTGCCTCTCTGTGCCTCAGTTTCCTCACCTGTAAAATGGGGATTATAACAGTACCCATTGTGAGGATTAAATGAATTAATTAATGTTAGTGTTATGTGTCGGGTATTATTATTATTCCTTTGATGTCCAAACATCTAATAACAGGGGCCTCAAATAGAAAGAGGAGGTTGCTGCTCCCAAGAAATTTTCTGGGTGGGACCATCAGGGGCCTTGAAAAGTATGCTGGTCTGTGGGAGGAGCTGAAAGGCACATGGTGGACCAGGAATCTGGACATCTTGACACCTGTCTCTGCTCTGCCAATGGACTGCAGTGTGACTCTGGGCAATTCACGATCCTCTTGAGCCTTAGTTTCCTCACATGGAAGAGGACACTAAAGGCCAGTTTTCTGGGTTGAGTCCTGGCCCTGCCCTTGACTCTGCATATGAACTTGGGTGGGTCCCTTTGCCTCTCAACACTTTGCCTCTCAGTGCAGTTTCCCTATCTGATGAGGGAGTCCAGTGCAATGGTCTCAGTCTGTGTGATGGTGGGATGTAGAGATGCCTTGACCCCTCCCCTGCCATCTCTCATTTCCTGTCCTTTCAGGCCACCTAGTTCTCAGTCCCCCACCCCCGCACACGGGCCCTGCCCTCATCAGTGCTCTCAACATCCTCGAGGGCTTCAATCTAACCAGCCTGGTGTCCCGGGAACAGGCTCTTCACTGGGTGGCAGAGGTAAAGCTGATTCCTCCACCCTACCCTGGGTCTGGGGACACTGGAAGTGAGGGGATGGGGTGCTGCCGTGGTGCAGGACTAAGTCACCTCCAAGTCTTCTCACACATGAGGATCCTGGGTGTGGGTGCTGGGAGGGGCCTGGCAGCCTCTTCCACACCCCAGCTCTGTTTTTAGACCCTGAAGATCGCATTAGCCCTGGCCAGCAGACTGGGAGATCCCGTCTACGATTCTACCATCACCGAGAGCATGGATGACATGCTCAGGTGGGTCCTAGGGCAAGACCCTGGGGACTGCAGAGGTGGTGCAGGATATGGGGGAAAGAACAGGTGAAAAGCAGCTAGTGGAACAATAAAGCCTGAAGTCCCAAGTCAATTTCAACTCAGCCCCAACTCACAGTGTGCCACAGTGGTTGCCTCTCCTTGTATCTCAATTTCCCCATTTGTACAATGAGTTGGTCAACTTCACCTGGCTCTCAAATTTTTTTGACTCCTATATGGACCCATCTGTTTCCCCTTTTGAGTGGGAAAAGAAAGTGTAATATCAATAATAACAGTCTCCAAGCAAATACTGGAGGTGGTTGGGATTTTGATTTTACTGTATCTACATTAGCAACATAACACAGTAGGAAGACTGTGGACTCTGGTCAGACTGACTCATTTCAAATCCCAGCTTCACCATCCACTAGCTGTGCAGCCTGGGCAAGTCATTTTTACTCTCTAAGTCTCAGTTTTTGCAAGGGGGCTTGACAATAATGGTGCCAGCCTCAAGAGGTCATGGTGAGGACTAAATGCATCCAAAGCACTTAGGACATTGTCTGGCACATAATAAGTGTTCAACCAATATCATTATTATTATTAATTGGCAATAAGTGTAAGAATGGTTACTATTTAACTGCTCCTATAACTGTCTTAAAGGCCAGCTAAGGAAAAATCAGAAGCCAAAAATAGAGTTAATGCAAATTTATATTGCTACTCAAACAACCCTCTATGAATTAAGTTGGAAATGTTGAGACTAAATGAGAAGCTTATAATTGAAAAGCACAAATGAAGCAACTGAAAACGATAACCAGCTCAAGGCCCCACGGATGAAGGCTAAAAACCAAGCCTCCCCCGCAACCCACTGATCCAAACCACATGAAACAAAGCCCTCTGTGCCTTCTCTGTGTGGTCACCAGCCTTTGTGGTTGGAAATGGAGTGAATGTCTTCAGTAATCCTTGGTAACTTGTCATTCTCTAATCAATTAGAGTAACTGAACTAAGAGTTATTAGGTAAGAAACCCTCAGTTGAACTTTAAGAAGTCTGGAGAATTGCATGTTGTTTTCAAGATCAATACAAATTTAGCTCTGAAACACACACACACACACCCCTATATTAAATTCATTCAACTAATTCATCCAATAAATAGTTATTAAGCACTTACTATGTGCCAAGTCCTCCTGTGACTTAAAAAAATAATTCTAATAGCAAGTAAAGATCCCTGTATACAAAACCCTCCCTTGACTAAACTCTTAATAAAACTTTAGTTCTGGACTACAAACATTAAGTTAAATGAATTCAATTTGTTCATTCCAAACAAGTGTTTTCTGAGCATCTACTATGTCCTAGCTACTTTATAGAAAGAATTGAGTAAAATCAAGTAACTAAAAAATTCTTGATTTAAACATAAAATAAATTAAAAATTGGCTCTAGAAGTGAATCTGAATAACACCTGAATAAATTTGTTCTGCTCAGCAACTATTTCCTAGATATTTCCTATTTGCTGGGAACAAGTGAGCTTCTGCTCTCATAGACCTAGTCGTTCAGTGCAGGAGGTGGATGTTAATCAGATAATTGCACAAACAGACATCACAAAGTGTGGTAAGTGGGGCATAATGAGAGCCTGTTGTGTGTTCACCTCCTACCCCTTGTCTTTTCAGCAAGGTGGAGGCTGCCTACCTCCGGGGCCACATCAATGACTCCCAGGCGGCCCCTGCCCCCCTCCTGCCTGTCTACGAGCTGGACGGGGCTCCCACTGCTGCCCAGGTGCTGATCATGGGCCCTGATGACTTCATTGTGGCCATGGTCAGGTATGCCAGCTCAGACTCAGAACCTGGCACAAGGGATCATCTGGACAAGGAAGGAGGTGGGAGTTGGATGAGAGTGAGGGCTGCCTTGACACTCACCTGGCTCCAACCTCGGCCTGCAGCTCCCTGAACCGACCCTTTGGCAGCGGCCTCATCACCCCCTCAGGGATCCTGCTCAACAGCCAGATGTTGGACTTCTCCTGGCCCAACAGGACTGCTAACCACTCCGCGCCCAGCCTGGTAGGGCCTTGCTTTCCTTTTCCCCTGGGGACCTTGAGGCTAGGAAGTATGGCTGCCCCTCCCTCCCTAGTTCCTCTAGCAAGTTCTATTATAAAGAAAAGGAACTTAAACAAGTTGTCCACTTCATCCTCAGCTCAAGTCTGGGGCTTGGAGCCTGGCGGGTCCAAAGAAACCTTGTCCCATTCTATCGCTGTCTCACTGTGTGACCTGGGGAAAGTCTTGACCCCCTCTCTGGGCCTCAGTTGGGGCATTGGGGATAATTGACTCCCATTTGATGCTTTGGGCATTTTATAGCATTAGTAGTCTATGACTGTGTGATGCTCAGCTGATGGGGCTCAGCCCTATTTTGTGGCACTAAAGGGAGACCCAAGGAGAGAGATAGGAGTTATTGTCTACTTGGAGGCCAGTACTCTACACCCTGCAAGCCAGGGCCCCAGCAGGACAAAGACAGATAGAGGTGACCAGCGTGGGGATTATCCTGTTCTTCCCCATAGCCATCTTTCTTGTCTTGGTCCCCTCTCCTGCCACCCATGGTAGCCCCATAGCAGCCCCATAGCTTGGTGGGTCAACTCTCCACCCCAGTTATCCAGGGACCCTGCCTATTTCACAGACAGCAAACTGTGGCTTAGGAAGGGGCTCATCTCCCATGAAAACTGGGCCTATGGAAGACGCTAGAGAGAGAGGTTGGAAGAGTGATGGGGTAGCCCTTTCCTGTCTCGCCCCACCTCTTATCTCCCTTGTGTTTTCTATCCTCTGACAATAGGAGAACTCGGTGCAGCCAGGGAAGCGGCCATTGTCTTTCCTGCTGCCCACTGTGGTCCGGCCAGCGGAGGGGCTCTGTGGGACCTACCTCGCCCTGGGAGCCAATGGAGCTGCCCGGGGCCTCAGCGGCCTGACCCAGGTGAAGTTTCCGCCTTAGGAGGCCTTTTGTGGCCGGGAGCCAAACTGTGGCCTGGGCTGCCGGTGCCTCTTATGCCTCTGGCCTGTTCTCATCCTCTCAGCAAACATGGGCTGAGGCTGCTTTGTGCCAGGCCCATGCTCGGCACTGGGGACATGGATTGCTCTGTTTCTTAGCAAAAAGGGAGCCCTGAAGCTCCCTGTCTTCCCAGGTTGCAGGGGAAATCGCAGGGCCAGTAGAATTGAGAATGGGCAGGCAGTTTGGTTCCAGAGCCTACCCATCGTCCTAACCACTAAGCTACAAGTCCCCACATTGTACCCTGGACCACCCCCAGCTATTAACCCTGACCTGGTCAGGCAGGAGGGAGGAGAGCCCTGGAATGGATTAAAGGAGACTGTATGCTAGTGGTGCCGCTTTCCTGGCTCACTCTAAACTCTGGAGTGAATCACTTTAGTTCTCTGGCCCTCGGTTTCCCCTCTGTGAAGTGAGGACAGTCATCACAGGCTTGCCTGTCTTGAGCTGTTGAGAGGCTCGGATGACACCCCTCGTATAAGGGTTCTAAAGACTAAAGAATCTGGACCATGGGTAAGGGCTACAGAGTCCTGAACCCCTACCTCTGGGACAGCCCTGACTTCTGCCCCTTGGCTGCCCACAGGTTCTGCTGAATGTCCTGACCTTAAACCGGAACCTGAGTGACAGCCTGGCCCGTGGCCGCCTGCACCCGGACCTGCAGTCCAACCTCCTGCAGGTGGACAGTGAGTGCAGAGCAGAGATCCCCATGGGGTGGGCACAGGGCCGGGCGGAGAAAGGGGCTCCTCCCTAGGGTGCCCCTGCCTCAACCAGCATCAACTCCCTGCCAGTGAAAGTTCGATTTCTTTCAACCAACTCCTATTGGAACAGTGAAAGATCTGGGGATTGGAACCAGTCCTGCCATTTCCTTGCTGCGTGGCCTTGGGAAATTCATGTCTCCACTCTGAGCCTTGTTTTTCTCATTTGTAAAATAAGATATAGTTGTTCATTTTGCAAACCATTCATTCAGCAATTTGCATTGAATACCTCCTGTGAACTAGGCATTATCCTAGTTGCTGAGGATACCACATTTACAGGCAGACAGGAAAATAAAGAAAGAAGTAGGAGAAAATAAAAGAAATGATCTGCAGAGCAATAAAGCAGGATGATGCATAGGACTGACTTGATGACTGGGGAAGGCTTCTTTTTGGTGACATTTAAACTGAGATCTGAAGAGTGAGAAAGAGCCCACCATGCAAAAAACTGGGGAAGGCTTTGTAGGCCAAGGGAACAAATGCAAAGAACTCAGGGCAGGAATGGGCTTGGCGTGTTTTGGGAGTGGAAATGAGACCAGGGTGAGTGAGAGTGAGATGAGATCAGAGAGGCTGGCAGGGGCCAGATCACGGACCTTATAGATTATGGTGAGGAGAAGGACTTTCCTCTAACAAGGACAAGTACTTAATTTTGGACGGAGCTTAACTTCGTAACTGGGAAAGTATGTGCACCTTTGAGGAGTTTTTATTACAATAGACAACGTATTATGCTAGTCCACAGGGGATACAGAATTGAATGAGACATGGTCCTTGCTTGCTCAGTATTGTTCTCCCCATTTTACAGATAAAGAAACTGACACCCACCGAGGTTATAAAGTAGTCAAAGATCAACCAGTAAATGGCAGAACTGCAATTAGAACATATACTTGACTGATACCGAAGACTCAATTCTTTACTGTATGGCTCTTGATATCTCTTGGACTGAAGCATGTTAGAAGCCACAGACCTACATCCTCAGCAGTCACACTCTGTAGTTGGCCAGTGACACTTTGGATCCCAGCTGATGGATGATGAGGCTAAGTCCTTAAAAATGAATTGTGCAGGCCAGCCCTGGTGGCCTAGTGATTAGGTTTAGTGTGCTCAACTTCGGCAGCCTGGACTCGGTGTCCAGCTGTGGACCTACAGTACCGCTTGTCTCTCAGTGGCCCTGCTGTGGTGGTGGCTAACATACAAAAAGACGAAAATTGGCAACAGATGTCAGCTCAGGGTGAATCTTCCTCAGCAAAAAGGATTTTGCTCAACTAATATCTTTTGGTCTCTATTGAATGTGAGGCTCTGTGCTAAGTTATTTGGAGGGGGGCGGCTCATCCTAGCCTTTCTCTGAGGGGCTCACAGTCTAACACAGGGATATGAGGAGAGGAGGCTTGGCGAAGGGAAAGTTATCCACCTGAGGGCTCTGGGAAGCTCAATGGAGGAGGTGACAACTGGCTGGCCTTGAAGTATGAGCAGGAATTTGGCACATGGAGGTAAAGAATGTTCTGGACAAGGGGAACAGCCTAGGCAAAAGCCAGAAAGAATGGCTCAGAGAGCAGCCAGGAGTCCAGCTGGACTAGAGACATTGTTTCCCAAACCTCAGAATTTATCCAGCACCTTCCTGACTTTTGCCACATTTGCACACCATCTAAACCATTATTTACGTAATGTGTGCCTCTAAATGGACTTCCTTTTTAATCTAAATGTATTTTAAAAGTAAATCTTATAATCACAAATGGAAAAACAGCATAATTTGCCATTAAATAGATAATAAGTAGCTATAAAAAAATCAAATGTTTTTAGGTTTTAGTTAGACAGTGTTGCTCCCAGAAGGCTCTGAAGTCTGCTGTCTCTGTTAAAGATTAGAAATGTTAGAGACCAGACCGAAACTTAGTCCTTACTATTATCGAACGGATTGAAAGTGAACCACAAAGCGAATACATTTCCAACTCGGTGATTTAATGCTATTCTTGTGCCTTTATCTCAAGAACTACCAAATCACCCCATTTAGCGAAATAAGACCACATCTTTGTTGAGGAGAAGTGGGAAATGAGATTGCAGGGTTTATCATGGTGGTTGTGTTAAGAAGGGTGGACTTTATCCAACTGAGTAGGGGAGGGATATGACCTGATTTGTTTCATGTAGGGGAGGTGGATTGAAAGAAGGAGAACTTAAGCAGGGGAAATACAGGAAGCACTTGGGATAATGGTTCAGGCAAGAGATGATGAGGACCTGAATTTATGCAAGAGGATGGGGATGTGTTCATTTATCCGCTAAATACTTGCCTCACTTACTATGTCCTCACCCTGTTCTAGGAACTGGGGATCAATAGTGAACAAGACAACATTCCTGCCTTCAAAAAGCTTATAATCTAAGGGCCGGCCCGTGGCGCAGCGGTTAAGTTTGTGTGCTCCCCTTTGGCGGCCCAGAGTTCGCTAGTCCTGATGCTAGGCATGGACCTACGCACCACTTATCAAGCCATGCTGTGGCAGGTGTGCCACATATAAAATAGAGGAAGGTGGGCATGGATGTTAGCTTAGGGCCAATCTTCCTCAGCAAAAAGAGGAGGATTGGCAGTTAGCTAAGGACTAATCTTCCTCAAAAAAAAAGCTTATAGTCTAGCAGAGGGAGACACACTAAATAAATAAACAAACACAGGTAGCGTTAAGTACTTTGAAAGAAAACAAAGCAAGGTAAGGATAACAGGGGCTGCTGTTTTAGATAGTGGTCAGGGAAGTTCTCTCTGAAGACTGGAATGAAGTCAGGGAGCCAGTTTGAGACTGTCTAGGAGGAGAGCATTCCAGGCAGAGAGAACAGCAAATGCAAAGGCCCTGAGGTAGGAGCATGTTTGGCCTACTTGAGGGACAGCAAGGAGGCTAGAGCAGAGTTAAGCAAGGGAGAGAGTGGAAGAAAGTGATGAGACAAGTTTAGAGAGGTAGCAAGATACCAGATGATGTGTGACCTTAGGAGCCATGGTAAGGACTTTGGATTTTATTCTAAGAGTCATCAAAGATATCAGAGGGTTTTGAGTGGGGGAAGTGACATGGTCTGACTAATGGTTTATAAGGATCCCTTTGGCTGCTGTATGAATAAGCTGTAAGGAAGGCAGGATTGGAAGCAGAAGGACCAGTTAGTGGGCTGTGCAGTAATCCTGGCAAGTAAGGATTGCAGCTTCAGCGATAAGACCCCAAAGCCCTTTTTCTAATATTAAGAATGATCGTATATTATTGATAACTTACTGTATGCAAGGCTTTGAGCTCGGTGCTTTCTGTGTATTATTGTCTTTAATCCCTGCAACAACTTCTTATACTAGGTTCTTGTATAACCCCCATTTTATACATGAGGAGACTGAGGCTCAGAGAGGTAAAGCAATTTGCCCAAGGTCATACAGCTCCTCAGTGGAGCACCCAGGACCAGGACTCAGGTCTGACCAAAGGACTCCTAACAAGTGCTGGGAACACTCTGAATGTGTATAATTTGGGGGATGGTTTTCAGGTGAGTTCACAGAGGAAGAGATTGAGTTCCTGGAAGCCAGGGGTCACCATGTGGAGAAGGTAGATGTCTTATCCTGGGTCCATGGCAGCCGGAGAACCAACAACTTCATCATCGGTGTGAAGGATCCTCGGAGCCCAGATGCAGCTGGAGCCACCATCCTGTAGAGCAGTGGGGTGGGGTGGGAGTCTCTGCTCCCCCCCTTTGCATGTTCCTAGAGTCCCTCCTTCTCCCAGGTTTGGTCTCAGGTGGACCCCAGGGATGCCCCAGCTCAGGGGCCAGAGGGGATGCTTAGCAAACCCTATCCCAGAGTAACTGGAAAATTCTCCATCTGGAGGCTGGTGGTGGTGGTAGTGGTGGTAGTGGTGGTGGTGAATGTCAGTGTCCACAACCAGGCAGGCGGGACCTTGAGGAGTCAGACTATCTGTCTGTCTGCCTCCTTTCCCTCAGCCACGCTGGCCCTGAGCTTAGGGATGTGCTTGCAAATCCTTCTCAAGGGTCCTCACAACCCCAGCATCTCCAGTCTGGCCTGACCTTGGCCTCATCTTCCAGCTCCCTTCTCCTGTCCCCAGCCTCATTTCTTAAATGACTAGGATTTTTTTTAATGGACCATCCTGGGGAGAGAGTGCTCTCCCTCCAGCTTGAGGCGGGGGCCTTGCATCTGGGGAGCCCCAGGGTATGAGGTAGGGGTGGGGGTGGGGACCAGCTCAGGGGCTTCCATTTGCAAAGGGGAATTAAAGAAAGAATATTGCTTAACCATGGCTCTGGCTTCTTTTGTGTTTGGCTGTGTTGGGAGTGGAAGTGAGAGAGGAGGTGTTGGCTCACCCTGTCCCAGTAGCCCTGACTCCAGCACAAGCAGGTGTCAACTTTGTGGGGGTTGTAATAATATCTGCCATCTATCCAAGAGTTTCATTAATAAAAATAAATAAGAAGAATAATTATAATTACAGATAGCATTTTTGAACACTTAAAGTGTGCCAAGCTCTATGCTAAACACTTTACGTGGATAATCTTATTTAATCTTCATTACAAACCTCATGAGAAAGGTACTAATATTATTCCCCTTTTACAGATGAGAAATTGGCAAAAAGAGGTTAAGGGACTTGTCTAAGGTTCCTCATGTATTAAATGGAAGAAGTAGAATTCCATCTCAGAATGTCCAACTCCTAAACTGTGCTTTAAACCACTTGCACATCTACTAGGTGAACTATTTGTTACAGAGTATACTGTGTATATAGTATACGTCAGACGATAAATACCTTTTAGAGACTATGTCATTCATGCATGCACATATCCAGCCATTATGTTCCAGGTACTTTGCTAGGCACTAGAGATTCAGCAATGAACAAGACAGACAATCTTTTATGGATTTACAGTCTACAGGGGAATCAAACCTTAAAGAAATAAGGACACAGATAATTAGGTAATTGCCATCATGATAAGCTCTATAAGGGATGCTATGAGCAGAAAAGTTCATCTAGTTCACAGGTGCGATGGGATCAGCAAAGTCCTCCCCAAGGAGGTGATGAGGATGAGTAGGATTCACAGAAAAAGATTAGATGGGGGCTGTGGGAATGTCATTTTAGCTAAAGGGAACAATATGTGCAAAGGTCCTGTGATGAGAAGGAATGTGTTACGTTTTAGGAGGTGGAAAAATGCCAGTGTATTCTTCCTAGAGCAGAGATTGACAAATTTTTCCTGGAACGGCCATACAGTAAATATTTCGTGCTTTGAGGCCATATGGTCCTTGTAGTAAATACTCAACTTTGCTGTTACAAAGGCAGCCACAAACAATATGTAAATAAATGGCTGTGTCTGTGTTTCCAGAAAACCTCATTTAACAAAAACAGGGCCCAATATGGCCTAAGGGCAGTTGTTTGCTGACCCCTATTCTATAGCATACTGAGAGGACAATGGTATGAGAGGAAACTGATGAGGTAGATAGAACATCCTTATGAAGCTTATGAAGCTGGTATTAATTTCTCCAATTTATGCATGGGGAAATTGTGGTTCAGATACGTGAACTAACTTGATTAAGGACACCCAGTTAATAGTTGGCAGATCCATAATTCAAAAGTAGTCTGTTTGACTCCAAAGATCATGTCCCTCTCTTCTTTAAAAAAAAAAAACAAACTTTAGGGCTGGCCTGGTGGTGCAGCGGTTGGGTTCGCACGTTCTGCTTTTTGGCAGCCCAGGGTTCACCGGTTCGGATCCCAGGTGCGGACATGGCACCGCTTGGCAAAAGCCATGCAGCGGTAGGCATCCCACGTATAAAGTAGAGGAGGATGGGCATGGATGTTGGCTCAGGGCCAGTCTTCCTTGGCAAAAAGAGGAGGATTGGCAGCAGTCAGCTCAGGGCTAATCTTCCTCAAAAACAAACAAACTTTATTATTTTATGTGGTTACAGATGTAACAGTTATTTAAATATCAAACATTACATAAATATATAATGTAGATGATCCATGACCTCAAAATCTCAACTTTCGAAAAATCTCACTATCAATAATGTAGTATATACTCCTCTAACTCCTTTTTTATGTAGCTATAACATTCCATTTAAAAATAAAAATGGGATTATATTATTCACACTGTCTATAACACCCTCCCTTTTTTTTTTTACTTATAGCATTACTTTACTACCAATATAACGTGGGCATTTTTTCATGTCAATATCAATATATATGGATCTACCTAATTATTTATAATGATGTATCATAGTTCATTGAAGGATTTAACCAGTTTCCTATTAGTGGATATTTGGGTGGTTTCCAATGCAACTTTGAATATCCTTGCTCTGACAGCTTTAGGTGCTTGAGCCATGTCTGTGGTCGTACCAACTCTCCTAGACTCTGTGGAGTTACAGGACCTTCCATTCAGCATGCTTTGGGGGCATCACATGGCTCCTTGGGATCATTTCCTTTCTTAAATATACAAATAATGACAGCTTTGAATAAAGATTTCTTCACTGGAACAATTCTTATATATTAAAACAAAATTCTGATATCTAGGAAAATCTGTTTCATTGCTCAGCACGTGAAATACCATATTTTATTCCACAAATATTTTCTTAAGTGTCTACTCCATGCCATGCACTGACCGAAGCAATGGGGACACTGATGAACAAGACAGACAAGGTCCTTGCTCTCCTGGACTTTAAATTCGTAATCACTTTTACTTTATTTAGATTGTACTACCTGGATCTACCATAGAAAACAAAATTCACCTTGCATTGAGAACCTAACTTTTGCTGACTATGAAATGAAGAAATAAGAAGCTTGGAAATTTAGTTTTCATGATATTCCCTCAGGCCTCAAATAACTCAAAGCTGTAACTACTTGCTTCTTAAATTGGATATTTTTGATTATAGTATAATATTGGCATAAGGATAAACATATCAATGGAACAGAATTGAGAATCCAGAAATAAACCCATATATCTATGATCAATTGATTTTTGACAAGGGTGCCAAGATCACTGAGAGAAAAAAGTAGTCTCTTCAACAAATGGTGCTGGTACAACTGTACATCCACATACAAAAGAATGAAGTTTGACTGTTACCCACACCATGTACAAAAAGTAACTCACAATGGATCAAAGACCTAAATGTAAGAGTAAAACTATAAAACTCTTAGAAAGAAACATAGGAGTAAATTCTCATGACTTTGGATTTGGCAATGGTTTCTTAGATATGACACCAAAGGAAGCACCAGCAACAAAAGAAAAACTAGATGAAATGGACTGCATCAAAATTGAAAACTTTTGTGCATCAAAGGACACTATCAAGAGAGTGAAAAGACAACCCCAAAAACGAGAAAAATATTTGTAATCACAAATCTGGCAAGGGTCTAGTACCCAGAAAATATAGAGAACACTTACAGTTCAACAGCACAATTAAATTATGGGCAAAGGACTTATATAGACGTTTCTCCAAAGAAGGTATACAAATTGCCAATAAGTCTCTGATATCATAAGTTCAATATCATAAGTCACTAGGGAAATGTAGATCAAAAACACGAGATACCACTTCACACCCACTAGGTTGGCTATAATAATAATTTTTTTTTTTTTGAGGAAGATTAGCTCTGAGCTAACATCTGCCACCAATCCTCCTCTTTTTGCTGAGGAAGACTTGCCCTGAGCTAACATCCTTGCCCATCTTCCTCCACTTTATATGTGGGACACCTACCACAGCGTGGCTTGCCAAGTGGTGCCATATCCGCAATCAGGATCCGAACCAGCAAACCCTGGGCCACCGAAGCAGAACATGTGCACTTAACTGCTGCACTGATGGGCCAGCCCCTATAATAATAATTTTAAAAATCATTTTAAGTGATTTTTATCATTAAATCATTACATTTTTAATCATTTTTATCATTTCTTTAATAAGATAAACATAGAATTAGCATATGACCCAGCAATTCCACTTCCAGATAGATACCCCAAAGGGCTGAAAACAGGTGTTCAAACAAAAACTCGAACATAAATGATCATAGCAGCACTGTTCACAAAAACCAAAAGGTGAGGGGCTGGCCCCATGGCTGAGTGGTTAAGTTCACGCGCTCTGCTGCAGGCGGCCCAGTGTTTCGTTGGTTCGAATCCTGGGTGCAGACATGGCGCTGCTCATCAAACCACGCTGAGGCAGCGTCCCACATGCCACAACTAGAAAGACTCACAACAAAGAATATACAACTATGTGTACCGGGGGGGCTTTGGGGAGAAAAAGGAAAAAATTAAATCTTTAAAAAAACAAAACAACAACAACCACAAAAAAACCAAAAGGTGAAAACAACCCAAAGGTCCATCAATGGATGAGTGGATAAACAAAATATGGTATATTTGTAAAATGGAATGTTATTCAGCCATTAAAAGGAACAAAATACTTACACATGCTACAACACAGATGAACCTTGAAGACAGTACGTGAAGTGAAAGAAGCTAGACACAAAAGGTCATGTATTGTGTGATTCCATGTATATGAAATATCCAGAATAGGCAAATCTATAGAGACAGAAAGCAAATTAGTAGTTATTTAGGGATGAGAGAATGAGGGGTTGGGAGGAGGGCAATATTTAAAGAGTGCAGTTTCTCTTTGAGGTGACGGAAATATTCTAAAAAATTGACTGTGGTGATGGTTGCACCTATCTGTGACTATATCAAAAACCATTGAATTACATACTTTGAGTGAATTGTATGGTATGTGAATTATATCTCAATAAGGCTGTCCAAAAAAAAAAGACATGGGATTTGGCAATATCAACTAGAGCTGACATACTCTGATATGCAAACCCTATGACCCAGCATTGTAATGTTCATCCAAAGATCTGTACAAGAATGTTCACAGTAGTACTGTTAAAACTAGACCTAAAGTGGAAACCTAAATGCGCCTCAGCAGTAAAATGGATAAATTGTGATATATTCAAATAATGAAATGCTACACAGCAATGAAAAGGAACAAGCTACAACTACATGCAACAATATAAATGAATCTCCAGAACATAAAATTGAGCAAAAGAAGCCAGACTCAAAAGAATACATTCTGTATGATTCCATTCACATAAA